TGAGTACAGTAACAAAGTATTTGTACTTCATTACTTCCCATCTCTGCGCTTTACATTCAGAAAATGTTAACCAGTTAGTTTGCCTTAACAACTGGCTGAAAGATGAATAAATAATAGGTAAAATGACCTCATGTAATTGTGTAAAAAGTCAACTTGTTTGTCCTGTATTTGCTAAAAATAAAAGCAATGGCTAAGTAGCCAAAATTGTTGAGAATTATATTATTTTTTTGGATTTGTCATTAATTAAACTAAATGTAATACCCATCTTGCTTATCTTTCTGTTTTGAAAACAGTACGCAGAAAATTTGCATTTTTCAATAATATTTAGGCTAGTGATTAATCGAAATTAATTCAAGAAACCTTGTGATTAATTAGATCAAAAATGTTAATCGTTTGACAGCCCTATTTTTTACTATGTGTCAAAGTCTGGCATTTACACAACAGTTAACACTAAAACTAAATGCTGCCTAAGGGGAGTGCACTTTACAAGAGGAGGATCAGTCATAAAGGCGTCCATTGCATTCATCACGCAGAGACATTTTCATTTTCCCACTAAGTAAAAAAAAAACTGTACTGTGATGAAGATTTGTAAAGAACACAAAAGGGCAGTTGTTAACCTAAAGTTTAGCAACATAATCATCTTTTAATAATGAAAACAACAGCAAGTACTTTTGAGTATCCATATTATCCACAGATCCTGGTTTCTGCGCTGGCAGCCATATTACCTGGTTGTGTAGGTGCCACGTCTGGTAGTCCGCCTCGGTGCACCTCCTGTTGAAGATGGACCTGAAATCTATTTTTACCAGCTGCCACTCAGAGCGATGACTGAAGTGCCCAAAGATCCTGGAAATAAGTTATGCAAAAAAGAAAAAAAAAAGTGTGAGATGATGATTGACGGGAGAAGCTGTTAAGACATGAGGCTGGCAGTGCTCTGTACTTTAGTTATTCTTATCATTTACCAGGAAAAAACTCTAATCCCACCATAAATCCAATTTAGTGAGCTGATACAGTCTTTGAAAGTTGACCTTTATATCACGGCTTCAGGTATCGAAGAGGTATTGATCCATGGTTCAAACTGGTCAAAGGAAAATATACTTTTCTTTTGTTATTTAACATTATTCTGATTTATTTTCCATCTGATCTAGAAGGTGCAAATAAAGAATTTTCAGAGAGGTAGTTACTGGATGAAAATACTCTTAGTTAAACTGCTAAAAGTGGGACTGGGCAAAATGAATATAACATGATTATATCAGTTAAAATGACTATTGTTAAGTTAATTTACTAAACCTTAAACAACTATGATTTACACTTCACTGATTTTTGTATTAATGGTACCAGCTGAAAATGTCAGAGTACAATTTCCTTACATTTTATAAATAAGGTTGATAAGATAAAATAGTCATTAAATTCTATCCAATGGGAGCAGCCGGAGAGGATAAGCTGAAGATGGCTGCTGTTCATTCAACGTAAGCACCAGTTTGAAACAACGTGTGAAAAATGTTGCCCAAATATAAGTTTACTTGCTTTTTCTTCTACGTTTCCTGCAAAACAGAACACTGACATTCAGTCACACTGACTTTATTTAGTATTCAAAGATTGTTTAATTTGTAAAATCTGTTTTGGTTTAACATATATTTAAGTTTTGATTAAATTCAACCATTTTTGTTTTAACAAAGCATCACTTAAATGGTATAATAAAGAACTTAACTTTGATAATGAAGTGTTTGCGTAGATTTCAACCCTATGAACCCATTGGGTGACTGATGGGTGTGGCCATTGCTCATGGGGTTGATGTTACAATTAAAGACTGATTAGTTAAGCTGCTTTAAATTACATTTGTTCATGCCGCTAAAACTATTAAACTTATTATATTTATGGATTCCAAACTGTTCTTACTTAAAGGTATAGAGGACGATTTTTTTATTTCCGGGTGCATCATCCAAATAAGTGGTCCTCCTAACTGTCAATCATTCTGGTGATATGTCTACATAAGGCCGCCCTACGTGTTCACCCAGTTAGCTATCTTTTTCTGTGCATATATCAGGAATATATCTGTGGTGAGCTATGGTTTCATCCAGTCATTGAAGCTCACCTTTCTCATCACGGTTCTTTGAAAATGGAGGAGGGCCGTAAGAGAAAAAGTGTATACGAAGTGTATGAGAAGAAAAGAAAGGAATCAGAAGAGGCAGATATATCCCAGAATGCTTTGCGTGGAGAGCTTTCCTCGCAAAGCATTATGGGATTTGCTGTCACAGTGGCCTGCTGTCGCCATAGGATGCTGCTACCCAACAGCGGCGCCTAACAAAAAAAAATGGCGCAGGCACCGCACAGTGGAGGAGGAGTTACGTGACCAACAGAACGAAAAGCAATGATTATCTGTCTGAACAGTCAGTTAACTGAGTTCACTATAAAGTTCACTATATAGTCCCTGCTCTATATAGTGATTGAGTGATTTAGGGTTAGACGTTTGGACAGCTACTTTTAAACAGAGCGTGCACGTGCAGAAATGGGCTTGTGCACGCTCTCGCATGCGTTTCAGAGGTGTTCCCTCTCTGGAGCAGGTACAGGATTGTGCATGTGCATTTTTTTGTGGAGAGGGCTTTTAAAAAATTCTTGAAAATCATCCACAATACCTTTAAAGAGCAAATTGCAGGTAAAATGTTACCCTGCAAAGTTTTTTTTTGTAATGGATCATATTTAAAAAGTTTCAAGTGTTTTGGCCGCCATAAAAAAGTGAATTTACCAATAAATGGGACATTTTTAGCTGTCTTTAAAACCTTCTTTTTTTTTTAACGATTCATCATTTGATGTCACATCAGTGAGTCAAATAACCGGCGCTGCTTCAGCTTTGTGTGGAGAGCAGGTAATTATCTGGGAGAGCAGACATGTAATTGAGTTTAGTAGAAGTTGGAGATTGGGTTTATTGATCATAAACATGGTCAAATATTGTGTTTGTGGGGGCTGCACAGACTCTGCTGAATGATGCTGAAAAGAATGAAACTTGTTCCCTCAGATGGACTGAGGCACCACATCTGTTCTAGTCCCGATGCAGATCTTACTGCTGCAGACAGCTCAGTAAACAGGAGATCCTACGATGGATGGCTGATAGGGAGCTTTAATAAGAATCAGTATGAATCTTGGAGAAACTTTAAATAAAGGGAAGAAAACCGGATCTATTCTTGCTGCCGGATATTATCTCCCTTGCAGCTGGTGGTTCTTACTGATTACAACCTTAGATTTTGCACTGTGTCCTGTTCTCAAGTTCTAAAATCAGATCATTGCATAAAATCTCTCAGAATTACGCCTGTGGTTCAGAAAATGCAGGATGCTGCTCAACTAAACTATTGTGGTGAAATGCCTCCACAGATTGTTCTCACACCAGATCTCAATCTGTCTCCTTTGGCCATCAATTCTCCCCTCGTCTCCTCTCTCTCCGCGTTCTTAAGCAAAAGGCTCATAACTATAGGATTGCAGTCCATCATATGTGCAGTTGCACACATTTAAAGCCTCTTCATTGTCCAAGTTAGCAATGGTAACTCTGACCCACTTTACGTAATTTCCATTGCCTGTTAGATACAAAAGAACTATGTTCAAACAAAAACAACCCAAAAAGCCTAAATAGTTCATATATAAGTAAATTTTGATTCAAAAAAACGATTTCTTGCTATTTTTCTGAACACTCATAACATTTCACTAAAATTCCACCAAACTAACGGGATGCAATTAGAGGTGGTTTCAAGATGTTAAGGTGCTAAGATTGCAATTTTCTCAGCGAAAAAAAAAAGCTACGAAGTTCGAACGTCACAGAGATGCAGGGTAAGGAACGCTGTGGAAGGAGATCATGCATGCAGGTGAATCATGATTGCATTTAAGCCACTTAACTGACATCTGGCCTACTTCTCCCAAGCCTCTGTGCAGCACATTCCAGCACTAACGCTGGTTACGGTAAAGTTGTCAAATTAAATAAAATCTAGACCGATTCAGTCACTTATCATAAATGTACTAGCCACAGGAACACGTTTTTAAACACGTTCTCCTCCATATTTGTATATATATGCGAGAAATGTACTCTGAAAACATGAACGGCGTGCCCCACAGACTCTGTCATGTGAAGGAGGTTATGTTTGCGGCCTCCTTTTTTTGTCGGTCTTACATTTAGCATGATTACTTTTAAAGTTATAATAGGATTTTTATGACAATTTCACCAAAATTGCAACTCATGCCAAGGAACGGTACATTAAAACTTGGTAATGAATCAGATCATGTGTGATTTCAGCAACCAAACCTACCATGTTAAGTATGAAAACAATTTTACCTGTTTATGTTCAGCATAAAAACATCATTTGTTTGAAAGCCATCTGACCATAGAGCAGCTATACATATAGCAAGCCGCATCCCTATTTTATTTTGATCTAATCCAGAAATATTAGCAATAGGTTGTGGGGATGATAGAGTAGAGCTCTTCCTATATAAAGATGCAGAAATAATAAAGTTTTAGATTTGTACCTTGTTCTTATGAAGCAACATTAAGGAATAATCTGGTAAGACAAAAAAAGGTGGTAAAGATTTTTATGTTTTTGTCTTTTTTTGTTTCTAGACAGCAGAACTAAGGAAAATATTTCAGCTTCAAACCAAAACAAAAAGTCTCCAAACAATATCTTTCCTCCACAAAGTCATCCAGCATGACTCATATTACTTCTCCCTGTTTTTGTTGTCGTTTTACTCAAATCTAATAACACAAACCAAACAACAATCAGACAAAATGATGAGTAATCTCTCTTTATTCTGATGTTAATAGGAATATATTCTGCCGTTTTTCACTGACCACAATCTAAATGCAATTCAGGGTTATCAGACCGACTAGGACGCTATTCCTTTTCCAGCTGAGGAGTTTCTTTATGTGTGTGAGTGTGTTTGGCTGACCATACAGCAACATATTAATCACAATCTGTCAATTAGTGCTGGAGGCATCCGACCATGACAGGCACTTACTGAAGAAATTAGTACAAATTGATAAGAAAGCGGTGCATGATGGTCTTATGAAAACTGATGGTTCAGTGTTCGAGGGCTTATTCTCAGAGTATCAGTGTTATCTTTACAAAACTTCATATTCCTCAAATAAAAAACAGGGAAAAAACGCCCTGTGTTCCTCTTAGGACTGCAGAGTGCTGTCATATTCCCTTTCTCCACTCGTTTCTCCTGCTGCGCCCCCATCACTCTCCCGCCGAGCAGCACCGCAGACCGCCGTCACTCCGTCATTAATGTCAGGTGTCATGAAACATTGATGTGTCTATGGAGACCCTTTGGAAACATGCCCCCCAGGTCCAAATCTGTGCTGCAATAACGGGGGGCGGTGCTGCGTCATATGAATGCTCCCAGCTCGTGGCTATTCTAATAATAAATGTGGAGGGAATCTTCATAACTCTGCTCTCTGAGGGCAAACTGATTCATGCTTGCCGCTTTGCCCAATTTCTAATGCAGTTAAAAGTTTTCAAAACGCAACTTTTTTTTTTTTCTTATTTTCCTGTCTTTTTGATCATTTTGATCATTTTCCTTCATGCTCTTCAAATGGACGGTCGTGCTGTCGCCGGCTGCCAAAGCATTGATCTCCTGTGATCGCAATCTGGAGACAGCCAGTTTTGATGTTGGCTAGACCTTGATGGAAGACTTTTTTTTTATTCATGAAGAAGAAATCAGGCAGAGGGGAATGCTGAATAGCTCAAAAGGCAAGGCAAAGCTCAGGTTAAAGGAATTCATCTGTTGTCAATGTAGATTAAAAACATGTAGTCAGTATCCTACCTACAGCGGTCTGCATGCAGAGAAATACGTGCCTGGAAGAAATACTCCGGTATAAAAGTAGGGTAGTTTGTTAGTTTATGAATAGTTTTAGAGTTTTACAAGATTAGATTCTTTTAAAAACAGCAGTGCCCATTGTTTGAGAGAGTATACGTGTGACTGGGAAACAATTAGAGTGGTGCAGGTGGGCAATTAATCATTTTAAAAGGTTTATTTCTTAAGTCATTTCAATTACCGATATGACCTTCAGCTTCTAAGTGCCTCTATATTGTAGGAACTGCAGTCATGTGAACTTTTGAGTGTTTGTATTGTGGTTTGTGTTATGTCCTAATTATTCATAGGCTTAAATATTAAAAATAATATTCACAAGAAAAAAAACAATGACAACTGAAAACACAAAAATGAAAAAAAATCTGAAATATGACAGCATATATAAAGCAAAGTTACTGTGAAGTCCTTTTTTTTTTAATTAAAAGTATTTCACATTATGTAGATAGATGAAATATTTAATAAAAAGCAATGCTTTTAACAAAAAATTTAGTTCAATAATATAGAACAGGCCGAGTTGTGAAGGGACTGGGAAAGAATTTTTTTTTCACTTTTTTCACAAAATAAACTGGGATTTTTAACACAGATCCTTGTGTGCTAGCATTGTCCTATTCAGTGTTGTCTTAAATTTTCCATCCTGATATTGATACGTTAGATTGCTATATATCTATTACTCACGTCATGATGAGGGTCTCCTCCCCTGGTTCGCCCAGCACTCCGTCCACAAACAGAGGCGTGTTGGTGAAGCTGTACTTGTTCCACTGCCGTCCTTCGTCAAAACTCAACCTGAGAACACAAACAGCTGCTGCACAAGGGATCCATGCTAATCCCCTGACTGTGTGCATAAGCTAATGACCCTTAGAGGTGTCTAACAACTTTATTTCATATTCTATGCAGGACTGAGGGACTCTGCTCAGTGAACAGCGATGGGTGAGAGCTACACTCATTATGACTTCAAACACGGAGAAGGGAAATCGAATGACAGTTGTAAGAGCAGTCATTTTCCACGGCTGCTGGCTCCTCTAACAGGAATCATATCATCCTCCAGTTCGGAGACAAACTCATTTGCTTTTTTGTTTGACTAAGTTAAGATTTGGAGCTCCCTCTGAGGGAATTAGTCATGCTGTGACAAATAGCGGGTTTGTCGTAATGACTCACCACAGGTGTCGGATGGGAAGTGGAGTGTGTCTTATTGCCACCAAGGCTCCACCTTGGTCGAGATAAAGCACAGCATACTCCTCATCAAAGATCTGCAGAGGGAGAAAAAAGGCAGAGAAAAATCAGTGAAGTGTGACTTTTGTAAAACTGCACACGGCAAGATTTCTCTAGCATTATACTGAGCTTTACAGTATTTTATATTAGAACATAGTGAACATCCTGGCCTCTTGGTTTCACAATAGCTTTTAAATGAACTTTCATCAACTGTGTACAGTAAAGTCAGAACTCTGCTAAAAGTGAATATACTTAATAAATACTGATATTAACAGTTTCATCTAAAACACTTATAAGTTATTCTCCATATGCATTTCGAATGTTTTATATGTGCGGATTCTCTATAGGTATGCTGCTATAGGCTTAGACTGCTGGAGGACATAGTGACCCCTTTTCATAATTTAGCTCCATTCTATCTCTATTCTCCCTTTCTGCAGTATTTTTTAGTTCAGTCTCTAATGTTCTTCTCTCTCTGCTTTTTCTCATTGTGGCTTAATCTGGTTTGTTCCTGGAGAAAAATATCAGCTGTGCTGCTGCTATCAACACCTTTGTTTATAGATTTTAGAGCTTGGCAAGTTTTTTTGTGTAGTCCTGTTTCTCTGACTGTGACTAACTTTATGTGCTCTTTCATCCTTTGACATGGAAGCTGGCTCAACTCGTCTGCCTGGCTTTGTGTTTCCCAAATCGGGCCGCCTGTGGAGCTGGTTAATTGTTGCCTTTTTTATCTAGAACCCCAGTCAGCGTTCGGAGATGGCGGCTCACACTGAGCCTGGTTCTGCTGAAGGTTTCTTCCTGTTAAAAGCGATTTTTTTCTCTCCATTGTCACTACAAGCATGCTTGGTGTGGAGGATTGCCTTTGAGTCAATGAGTTGATGCAATCAGATGGTTTTCCTTAAATTCAATTGAACACCATATACCTCCAACACTGTATGTCACAAGCATCAGCTCATTTTTCTTCTCTTTGATCATGGCTTGCATTTTATAATACTGTATATTCTCTCCTACTTATGTGTGGATCTTTTTCTATGCACTAATGTCAATATTTGTCACTTTGTGAGTGGAACCAACCAAAGAAAATAAACTGCCTGTGATTGGCTAACGTTCAGGAAATCCCACCTCTGATTTCTTCTCCCTTATTGTGGTTAGTAGCGTTAGTAAAGCATCTTCAGGCTAATAGTCGTACTCTTCAGGAGTTGAATTCTGAGTTCATATTGAACAGCCATCCCTGTCATTAACTGACAGTTTAAAAAAAAACAATGCTAGACATAAAAGTAAAGAAGGCTTAACAGTAGCTGCGCTTGCTGTGGAATATAAATATCCAGGTGCAGCGGGGCTGCCGGGGTCAAGTATGGTACCCATAGGCTTTGGTTATCAAACAAAGGTTTGGGTTGCTGCCTGTGACCATGTCTTCCCCTCTCTATATCAAATTTCCTGTCTACCTATTAACAAAAATAATATGCCACTAGTATCCTAAAAATAATCCATAAAAATGAATAGAAATTTTTATGTTCAACTATAAACGTAAGCTTCATTTAATCCTTACATCCCACAATATAAACAGTGAATATTAATGTCAGCTTAGCTCATGGAAAGTTCCAAATTTGACAACTAAAACTGTAACTGTAGTGGATACTAAAAACTTTACAACGCCATAAAAATATGTTGCCCAAGTGAAGTAGTGTAGTGTTAGCATCGTATTGAAGATATCTTTTTCAAAACTGATCTGCAGATCGATCCTGAATTAAGTTTGTGGAGGAGGACTTGACACTGGAGGTTGTTCCAGAAATGCAATGACTTTAAACATAGAGTCAGTGCAACAACTGGCTGATTTAGATCCTGGTACAATGGTATATAGCATCCATTATAGTCAGGGGACTCAAGGGTGCTATAAATGATATTCAGTCACTCACAGACACATTGGTGGTGATAGACTACATTTTCTTCGACTACCCCCTCAAGAAGTCACACTGGAGGCACTTTGTCTCATGGTTCTGAGAGTGCCTTGGGCCTCTCCTAGCAGAGCTGTAGGTTGTGTCTCAGGAGAGGGAAGTCTGGGAGTTTCTGCTGAGGTGGCTGCCCACACGACCCGGTAATGGTTAAGCTAAATACGAAGACTATGACAAGCTACTGTACATTGTACCCACAAGTGCCCTGGGGCTCGCTGACAGAAGCACAGCTTCTATACCAAAGTCTCACGGGGCCCTCTGATCACTATCAGTAGGCATGCAGGTAATTTGCCTTGTCAAGGTCACAACAACAGAATTCAAACCAGCAACCATCCTGTTGAAGGATGAACGTCTATTCCTGTAGCCCCAATCAAAACATGTTTCTGAAATGACCACAATGAAAAGGTCAAGCGACTTGAATGGCCTTGATTTGTAATGAAGGTAACCTTGAGTTTAAACCTCCTCAAAGATGAAGCGTGATCTAATCTTATCTGTGCAAGGAAAACAGTAGCAAAAATAAAAATGGCCCAAAAGCCCTTCATAAAGTTCTGGGAGAGTATTAGGACACATTAAAAGCCATGTAATGTCCAGGTAAATGTGGACCAGGTCATCGAGGCCTCTGCACCTGACTGCTTACCAATTGTCTTGGCAATTGCCCCTCATGGTTCCCCCTGCGGGTGGTGACCTGATGTTGCATTTTCTGGCTTTGCCTGGGCAGTCCCAAAAGGAGGAACCTGACCATCAGAAGCGAACAGATGAGCCCCAACCCAAGCCTGGTTCTAGAATGAGGTCCAACCTTTGTCGTATTGAGCAACGCCATGTGCCTTCCTCATTAGGGAGTGTTTAGAATTGCTCTTTTTCTTACCTGTTACCTAGAGCCTGTTTACCTTGGGAGATCCTACATGTGGCTTTTAAGTCTTTGGATCATCTAAGCACTGAAACCCCTCTGCCACATTGGGTGGCAGTCAGGTTGTGCTTGGGGAGGGGAAGTATCGCTTTTATTACACTGGACAATGTCTTTCTGCCTGCCTGGGAGCACCTTCGGCTTGCCCTAGCAGAGCAGTTGGAAGTTGACTGGAGAGAATGAAGTCTGGGAGTCTCTGCTGTAACTGCTACGCCTGCTACCCAGTCCCTGGTAAGCAGAAGATGACAATGACTAAACAGCCATTTTTCAAAAACCCTGAAGTTGTTGAAGAGATTTTGTAGCAGAGATTTGACTAGTTCCCTTTCTGTGAAAAGCATTTATTTTTGCAACCAGACTTCATTCTAGGTTAAAAAGGTCTTTCTTTTCTTAAAATATTGCTTTTGAAATATGCATACCAGACATTTCCTCTTTATCAGCATAAACCTACAATTTAACCATTCCTTGAGACTTTGGATAGCTAATCTGTACGTGTGGCATCTTTCAATATATGCAGTCAGTCACATTAGTTACAGCAGCAGCAGACAGTGTGCCCCCAGATGTTTTACCCGTCTGTTACATTAACAATAATTGCAGTGCCACTAAAAGTACCTATATTCTATCCATGGCTGCGGTATACTACGAGTTTACTGACCTTTTTATGCTTGAATTATTTCTTTCAAGCATCGACCTGGTCCCAATTTATTCTGGCCCGAAAGGTAGCAGAGTTGGGGTTAAATCTTGTCTTTTGTCTGACCATCTCCATTATGATCCGTCTTCAAGGGAAACCTAGTAATGATTTGTTTTCTGTCAACCAAAGGATCTTTACTGGCTTTGACTGCAATTTCCCAGCAAAGGCTGGAGGGATGTTGACAAAAAAGATACTCTAACCATCCACTCTGTTGTCCATACTGATTTTGCTAACATCTAAAAGTGGCCCTGTTTTAGTAAATAATATTTTTTTCTCCATCTGAAAATGTCAAAACACATTAACTGCTTGTAGAGTGGTAGTCAAGATTGGATAGATGCAAATGGGAAAAATTATGTTGAAAGTGCTTAACATAAATAACCAACTCATGAATACTGAATAGGACAATGCTAGCACACAAGGATCTGTGTTAAAATATATACAAGATTTTTTAGAACTTATTGAAAAAATTTATAGATATAGAAGAAAAGTTTTAAAATAACAAAACAACTAATGCCCTGATTCGGCTTATTGGTAGCATACCAGTCTTTTGCAGTTTTTTCTGGGTTATCTTTCTTCGGTTTAACCTAAATTACTGCTACTGCAAAGAACTGACTTTAGGATGTCTTCCTGCACCATCAAACCCCATACTGTGAAGAAAGGTTGCCAACAGTGCTTGTTAGTGCTGAGATATGGTGCCTTCACTGAACAAAAAAGGTTTAATATTTTGGCTTATGATCAGCAGATCAATGTTCAAAGCCATTTAAGCTGAGAAGTAACGATCTTCAGTGACTGAGCACATTCAGTTCAATTAAACCTATTTATATTATGTAGCACATTCACAACACACTTTACTTGAACAAGTCAATCAAATCTTCTGTACAGATCCCTCCCACTGAACATGCACACAGTGATAGTGGAGAGCAAAAAGGCATTTTTAACAGGAAGAAACCTCGAGCAGAACCGACTAAGTTTGATCAGCCCTATGTCAAGGCTGACTGGGGTTTAAAGAGAAAAAAGGGACAAAAGGACATAGTCTCACTGATTCATAAATGCTCTCTGTGTTAGAAAATCTAATGGTAAACTGGCTCCACGGGCGGTTCTATCTAGGAAAAAAACAGTTTTCTAGTTTTATTTCTAGTTTTCTAAGAGGCTATTAATTCAAATTGAGGCACTAAAGCTTTTTTCTTTTACTGTTTGAGTCTTGAGAAATGGCTTATCTTTATCAGAACAATGGAAAATAGAAACGCAAAGTCTGGGAATGGCAAACACAGTTGTTTTCAAACTAAACAATTTGAATACTGTTCATTTCATTATGTTATAATATGTGTTTATTGTGGTTTGAAAGCCAAATCTAAAAAAAACTACCAGGTTAGCTAGCACCTATAGTGTTCTTGAATGAGATATTAACATGTTACATTAACATGTAACTATTTTCTTTGTGTAAAGTTATGCTTTTTTTTTTTACCAGTATAGGTTTTTCACACAATGTGATGCTAACTTTATGTGCTTCTCATCCACTCATTAAACTTAATATTCAAAATATGACTGAATATTCTGTGAAAATGATTCCCCTAAAGTCTGTTAGCCATTAGCTTATTTTAAAATTTTGCAAAAAAGTGGTTTTTAATCATAACCTCATAAATTTTCATTGGTCTCTTTTCCTTCTATGTATACGAAGCAGCTATTTTGTTTTGTGAAGTTTCACTATGTTAAGAACTTCTACTTAATATATGTTTAATTTAGAGTTAAAAAAATCTTTGCTAATGAATTAATTAAATATTTGAATGGAAGTTGACGTGAATCTACATGTGTGCAGAGTTAGCTGTTTGACCATGACGGTACCAAAGTTCACTCCTTTATCTATTGTCTCACACAGGTGTTTAGGGTTTGTGTTCACAGGAAAAAATATAACAGACTAAAGGTTATTTAGCTAAATTTCCCATAACGTAAATGCATCCTAATTTTGAACGACCCTCTGTATGTCAAGGTTTTGGTTCTGTTTTAGTTTTCTTTTTGAGTTTATAGTTTCACTTTGATCCATGTTTTTCTTTTTTTTTTCTAGTATAATTGGTTTAATTCCTATTTTTGTGGTGTTTTCAGGATATATTTGAGTTTTTAGGTATTTCTTGTTGGTCCTCTTGTGTGGGTCTCCTTTCCCCTAGCTTCCTTTAGTGATGTTATGAGATGAGCCGAGGCTTCGAGGAGTGTGTCGAGAAGTGGAGGGGGAGTTTCCGCGAGGAGCGTATCAAGGCTTGCTTTACTACCCGCCATACCACATGACCGCTTCAAGAAGTGGTTCAGCTCGTCGTTAACTTCGGCAGCCATTTAAACAGCCTCAGTGTTCAGTCAAGATGTGGGAGTTTGTAGGAGAGTTGGATAGAGTTTGGATGGGATTCTAAGAATAGATTGGTGTTTTTACAACCAATCTAGTTGGTCAAAACTAGTTGGTTTGATTAAACAATGTAATGATCAAAATCTGAACAAGTCACCCATCATAGATATAACTGATTGTAAGTAGTATTGCTTGGTGAAAGTATGTCATCTGTTTAGTGGTGTCAGCTGTAACAGATGGGCTTCCTTTCTGTCTGTTGTTCTTCTAAGTTTTGATAAAACACAACTAGTATTTTGGCTAATGTGACTAATTTGTATTTGTTGCCCTAGTAAAAATATAGATTGCTAAAATTACAAAAAAATAGATTGGTGGGTTTAACCAAGAGATTGGTTTAACACATAGCTTCCAACCCGATTAAAACCACAAACTAAAACTATTATGTTTGAATAAAATTACTAACACCTTTTATTTTCTTATAATTTCCCAAAATTTTCACTGTCTGCTTGGGCTTATTTCACTAAAATGGCAGAAAAACTATGTACCTAAAATTATTGTTCTCTTCTAAGACATTTACACACAAAAAAACTGACTAAAGATTTTATTATACAGACCAAACATTAACAATTTCAAATGAACTTATATGGGAAGAAAACAAACAAACAAGAAAAACTATATTGCAAAAATCACAATTATATTACTAACTGTAGTTCTTCACTCCACCAGTAGGTGGTGACCTGTTCCCATGAAGCTTCATGAACGGTGGGGATCATTGAAGCAATTTGGCCAAATGGTTCAATGCCTTATAAGGCTTCATCTCACCATCACTAGCTCCTTTCTAGACTCCTCTGTTAACACCTGCTCCCAATCTGCTAATTAGCCTGCTCTTTGTATCTCTCCCATTTATTCTCCTCCCTTTCAGTCACTGTTGCTGGTTTGTCGTCATTTCTTTGCCCCCTTGTTGTGAGTATTCCTGGTTACCTGTATTTTTGAATTTTATGGATTTATGTTTTTGGATTTTTGCTTCTGTTTCCCTTTTTGTTTAATTAAATCTTGCAAGAAACCAACTCAGCTTCAGTCTCTGCATGGGTCCTGTCAAACCTCCACCCCATTGTGACAATGTAAAGCTCAGAGATGGTTTTGTGAAGAAAAAAAATCCCTGTAGATCACCAGCTTCTGAGATGCTCAGACCAGCAGGTGTTGAACATTCACTTAAATCAACTATCTTCCAAATTGTGATGCTCAAGTTGAACTTCTCAAATTCATCTTCACTAATGCCCAAATGTACTAAAACACTCCCTTGTCTTTGTGCTAAAAGGAAAGAAGCATCTCCAAAAAGCTCATCATTAGAGGGAAATGTGAAGTTTTCTAGGATTTCCTCATTAATGATAATGGCTGCCCTGACTTTGGACTCAATAAAACTCAGATGACTGACCCTAGATTCTTTGCTTATCCACTCTTTTTGCTGTTTAGGGTTTGCCATATTTGTTCATTTCCAGCGGCTTATCAATGTTAGTCTTACAACATGAAATCACCCATCACTCATTATGTCTTAGTTCCTTCCTTCAGTATCCTCTGCCAGGGTCGCTGGAAGTAATTTTGAACAGGGGGTGCTGTTAAAATGTTTTTTTTTTTTTTTTTTTTTTTTTTTTTTTGGGACTAAAGAGCTATGAGCCTATAGGCCTATTTAAAATACAATAATAAAAAGTAAATTCACTACTTTATTGTCATGTACACTCAACCAGGGTCTGTATCACACAGGCATTATCAGTTCTCAGGTAAATATATATGCACTATTAATTAAACTTCACAATAACAACGTAGATTTGGTCAGCTGGCATGAACCTGAGTCACTGTGTTTATGTCACACGTGACTCTATTAGCTCCAAAATCCTTTCACGCAAACCACAAGGATAAAAAATTATATTAGTACACTATTTAAACAATACTAAACAGTTGTCCACATCCAATTCACAAAAATAATACATGATTAAAATAACACTGTAAAATACTATGGTTACGTTAAACTGCACGAATAGATCTGAAAGTGTGCGGCGACACCATGCTCTTACTTTGAGCTATAGGCAGGGCGCCCTCCCTGGTTACAGGTGTCCAAATCTCAGGTGCGCTCTGATGTTGTAGAAATAAAGTCTTTCATGAGCGGATGAATCCAAAATAAGTTTCTATCCGTATTTCCTCTTCTTTGTGTCATTAGATAATGTAAATTTATTAGTCTGCTGCCACTACCATTGCTTACTTTACGTTGCCATGGCGTCACTTCTGTCACCTTGCCTTGATTAGGCCTCAAAATAATAAAATAAAAATCCAAATATATGTAATAGTAAAATAAAAAAGACAAAATAGTTTCCCAAAATATTCATAAGAAATTTATAAATTGTGCAAAGGATTTTATTAGATTTTTTAAAATCTCCCTCTCACCACTAGGGGGTGCTGCAGCAGCCCCACTTCCCGTGGCTTTCGTGTGTTTGTTTCCTGTCTCTATGCCTTTTTTTATTTTTTTTATTTATCAAGTTTTTCAAAGTCTGACACCTTTCTCATTAAAAGCTTTAAATTCAACTCGCCATTCCCAGGTGTTTTTCTGCACCTTGCTCCAGGTTGAGAGCAACTTCTAATGACAGTTAGGGGCCAAAGACGGCGTAGCTCCTTTTCCTTTGCCAAACCTGCCTTGGTTCAGTGGGGGCCGCTGAGGTCAGGATGACCTTAAGGGTTCTGGCAGCGTTGCAGGGCTTGATGAGAGGATGTTTTTATGGAGGCTTTGGGCATTTCAGGGTTTGGTAGGTTCCTGGCTCCCAGACTCTCCAGGATGCTTCAGGGACTTGGCTCGCTTCTGTCAGAGCTACCTTCAATTTGGCATTACTGGGACTATTATAATCTAACTCTATTGCTCCTTTTTATTTCCAACCACACTATTAAAACCCAGGCTTGCTTGGCAGGTTCAGGCTCATGATGGGGGCGGATGCACTGGCTCTGAGTATGGCCGTCCCTGGGCTATATTGGGGTTTGTTTCCCTAAAATCTCCCTGTGCCTCTTTGGCCTGGTTATTCCTGCTTTTTTACTTCAATGCAGACCTCCTTCTGTGTCTCAAACATAAAAATCTTTACAAGAAAACACACAAAACCAGACTCAAAATAATCCAGATGGCTGAAGGTCACTCAGACACAGGTTTCTATTTTGATGACAGATTTAATTTGAAGACCGTATTTAGATTACTTAATTTCTTACTTCATTTAAGCAACTGGATGAATTTTAATGACAGGATACTAAAAAAATATTTATATTTAACCGTATTGTTTTGCTTTTAATGACACAACCAACTAAAGAAACTTAAAAAAAAGAGGCAAGAAAAGGTAGGAGTGTTTTATAACCAACAATAAACTCTTCAATGTGTAGCAACTCAACATCTAGTGAAAGAAAGTGAAAGAAAGGCAGCTTGTAAGGTTGGCAAAACAAAAGTGAACCAGATGTCAGTCATCTGCTGCCATGGGGAAATCTATTTGAAAAGCTTGTAGATTCCAAAAACATTATAACTTCCTTTAGAAAGCAGAAAAAAAAATCAAAGTCTACATTCCCATCAAAGGTGGTGTCACATTGTTTTACCCTTCCACATGTCACAGCTTAACTGGAATTACTTCACAGGACAGATTGTAGGAGCATGACATTCCAGCAATAAAAGGAGCACTCACCTGTCTCCACGTGTTTCCTGCATCAGAGGTGATGAACACGCTGACATTGCTGGTGGTCAACTCTGAACCGATGGAGCCTGCAGAGGAAAATTCACACAAGACAAACCGCATTTGATGATGGGTGGATGTGTACACAGAAAATAAAGCCCATTTCAGATCAAATCTAACTCGTGCGCGCTGAAAGTTTCCAGTCAGCGGTGGTCCTACTCTGCAGCTGCAGATCTCGGCTGTAATTACGGTGCTTCGACAGATCTACGCCGCACTCTGACATTTGCACAGGCTCCAAAATTAACCAATAAATCCTGATTAGTGTATTCATCTCTCAGCACTTTGGACCACATTAAGACAAGCTTTCTTAATCCAGTGCAAAAGGCAGTAATTGCTTTAATTCAGCCTGTAATTGGTGCCAGGTGGTAGATTTTCACAGGCGTGATTGTTCCCCAGGAATGAACCCTCCATGTGAAACAATCTCCTCGGCACACAAACAGGATGAAAGTCGGAATTCTGCGTTCTCTGCATTAAGGAAGGCTATCTATGAAAAGTGACCATCTAAGGTTAGATTTCAGTGAATCTTTTATATCTCATTTGTAGCAGAATGAGGGTAATAAAAATCCCACCAGCAGCTGAGTTTCAGTTTTACAGTGAACAGATCGCTGCTTTATGACTCAGCCTTCTTCCGCTCCTCCATGCGGTCCCTTCCCTCTTTAGACCTTATCAATGGAAATGTGATCATGATGGCTGAAAATGTTCTAAAATTAGATCCCCGGATGGAGTGGAAGAAGTTATTTAACAGTTATTTTCCCCCATCATGACCCTAGCTGGAATAATGACGGATTAAAGCAAATGGGTCGATTGTTGCACCGAGAGCTGTTTAATTCACTGCTTCACGCTTGGAGTGCGAGCTGGGCCTTCTGCAGACACCTGAGGTGTGTGCTGATGAGTTATTGACAGTGTCGGTCCATATGGGAGTAAATATCAGTGAGGTGTGAATCCACCTGGAAGGCAGCTGGTGTCACATCTCTCTGTTTTTCTTTTCTTCACTCTGCGATGAAGCAGGTCTTTTTTTTTTTATGTTCTGACGTTTAATAGTTTTGTATTACTCACTCTTGTGCACTGGGACCAGAGCAAGGACCATTAAATTATCTTTTTTCAATTCCCTAATATAAATTAAACCCTAAATTAAACAGAATTTGAGCATTGAAAATATGTGTTAACAAACCATTGGCATCTATTCTGACTTACCTTTACTCACTGGTGGACATCTATGGAGTGATTATTGTTCCATTATTTTGCAAGCAAAAATAACATTTTTAAATAGAAAGAAAAAAAATGCACTCCAAACATGAAACTTTAACAAATGCATTTTTTTTATATATTTTAATATTCTGTTCAATGTTTTTTTCAGATTCTATATTTTCTAATTTAGCTAAAAGTCGTATTTTTTACTTTTTTTTAATCATTTTTATATTTTCAAGTTTAACTTAATTAAACTCTTATTTTTTCAATTTCTTTCATCAGATGCTAGATTTTTTAAAAATATTTTCTTTATTTTCTCTTTTATAAAATGAGTTTTATGAATTGCACTCCTTCCAAATTTTATTTTATAGATAACATTCCTTTAGCCCAATTAATAAGTTGCTACATATGAAAAATATGAATGAAGAAATGATAAAATGACAAATTAACATCAGAAACTGAAAAAAAATAACTTTAATTTTGGATAGCATTTTTATCAAATTAGATCAGAGGCTAAATTGTGTCGGGTAAATTTAAGCCTTCAGATGTTTTGCATTATAAACTGCACATTTTAAGTGATATTTCCCTCTTCTCTTAATAACCTGTAACAAGTGATTCTCATTTTTAGCTTTTTATTATGGCTTTTGTCTTGAGTAGAATCAACAATGCCTTCCCATGTGGCTCTATGTCGAAACAGCTGTAATAAAATCATAAAAACATTTATTCTGGTTACACTATTAGTATTTCTTTGGTAGAGATCAAAGAAAGTGTTGCATCAGCTCTCAGACGCTGAAAAAAAAAATACAATGAAAATAATTTAATAGCACAAGAAAATCAAAAAGAATATATTTTAGAATGCAGAGTCTTAGTAAATATATTGAAATACACTGGAAAAAATATATAAATCTGAATGTGTAATTTTATCCTAAAACAAGTGGATTTGTTCTTAAATTGAGGAGGTAAGTGAGACATTTTGCCAATGGAACAATACAATTCACGTCTTATTTGAAGTGCTTTTATCTAATTATTTTATTTAAAGAGTAGAAATGCTCATTCCATTGACAGATCATCTTATTTAAATGCTCAAATTAAGGGTAAATACACATAAATTAAGAAATATTGATTTATTTCCAGATCGCTTTTGCAGTGTATAGATTAATATGACTATACATTATAGTCTGATGTTTTTTTTTCCTAGTTTCTACCATTTTGCAATATCCACCACTGTAAAAGGCACTGGTGGCTGTTTAACCAAGAAGCATGATTGGATAAAAAAGGCCTGTCTTTGATTGGGTGGTGGTGTGGTTCATTTACATGCAGTTAATACAGTAGTGGGTGTAGAGATGGAGCAGAACATGCGCAGTAAAGGAGTAGAGTAGGAGCAAAGCTGGCGGAGCAGAGAGTTGAGGGCGTGGATCACAATGGCTTTGAGATTAAACCCTCTGCTCGCTCAGATTGTTAGCTATGCACTAAAGATGGTGGCACAAAAAATCTGCCATTAAAAACGCCTTCTTCTGAGCCCTTTTTAATGAAGCTATCTGCATGTGTTTAGCGGGCTAATTAAGTGTTATACTTTACACTGTATGTGAGAGAATCAATTTTAATTAAAAATAATACATATCAGGGAGCTGCTCACGCATTTCATACTTTTATTTGTTAATATGTTTAGATACTAAGCATAATTCAACATCAGCTTCGTAGTTCTATAGAGTGGTGAGTTATTATATCGAATCCAAATAGAAAAAGTTAAAGTTTGTGGTAAAAAAAAAACAAACTGAGCAAGTTTCAGGGATATGAAAACTTTAAATATCAACACTAAGAAAATGTCACTGAGTTTTACTTACATATTGGTAAATGCACTTGCATTTGCCCACATTTAACAAATATAAACAATCATAAAATAATTATACACCGTATTAGAAATGTAGGCTGTAAAACTGATTAGATAAAATGTAATATTAAAGTGGAGAATGAATATTTTACTCCAAAGGGTTTAAAAACAGAGAAACCAGAAAATGGTGAGACTTTCAGAGCGAAGGAGGAGCAGACTTTTTTCACACCCACCTGAGGCGACGATGATCCCAGGCGCAGACTCCCTGCTGGCGATGTTTCCAGATGTGTAGGGGTTGGCAGACACGTGAAGATAGAGATGTAATGAGCAGTACGGCTGCAGAGGCAGAAATCAAAATCTCAATTAGCCGAACCTTCGGGCCGAGCCGGCGGGATCAGTGAGAGACATGGGCGAACGCCTCAGCTGTTGCATCGACTCGGATCCGCAACCCTCCCAAGTCATAAGCTTCATCACAAACACAGCCTCCCTATTGGCCGGCCTTACCATTAATTTTGATTGGGTTAACCTTTACCAACACAATTCTCATTACGAGGCGGAGAAATGCCAGTGGAGGAGGCCATGTTGTGACAGGCTGTTTGGAGGTTTATTAAAACTCTGACATTTGCTGACAAATGACTGCATAATATGAGAAGAAGGCAAAAAATACCACAGAATATTTAATTGGTTTGTTGTTTTTCCCACAAAGTGATCATTTCTGGTCTTACACTCACGATGGGATGAGGAGTAGAGGAGCGTTTCAAACGAGTCCAATCTTTTACTTAGACTGCTGAACTTTAGCATCTGAGTGAAATCTCAAGTCAACTACGAGTTGACCGAACTCTCAGGAGCTCTCAGGAAGACAGACAGATGAAGGAGAGGAGTGTGCTTCCCTGTATGACACCTCTTCTTCCTCCGCTTGCTTAAATGGGAGGTCAGCTTATTGGACTGAATCAGAACGGCTGACCTTTCAGCTCAGCCGCCTCGGAGCACTCAGCTTTGACGGCTGCTGTTCTGTCTGAACTCGGCCTCTTGTTGCTGCTGCGATCAGTCAGCCTCTGTCTCTCAGATGGACGCACACACAAACACACACACACACACAGACAAAAAAAAAAAGAAAGCAGGCGTGCTCACCAGCACACAGTGGATACTGTTTCCTCTAAGGTCTCTGCTCGGAGCCTGCAGCAACCTCCAGTCTCTGCCGCGGTTGTAGGTGATGTACGTCTTCACTTGGTTATCCGTCTTCTTGTTGGCAAGAAACATCCCTTTTATTCCAGCGACCTGGGAAATTACAGCTTCAAGTGAAGCAGGCAGACCTCGAATACCCACAGAGTACAGTTAATGTTGTACAACTGATACCTGGTATTAACATACAGTACAGGAAAAAAAAGACACAAGTAAGAAAAAAAAAAAAAAAACCTGTTCAATCAAAAATAAACTGCTCCTGTTTTAGGTCAGTTAAGATTTCCAGAATTACTTTTCTTTATCTTTCTACTACTTGAAACTACTTAAAAAACTCCCAATAATCATGTCATGAAATGTAAAATATAACTCTAAAAAATCTCGTAATAGGGTTTGGTCTATGGAAGATTTTTCCTTCCAAAAACCAAGTGCACACATTTGCAATTTGAGAGCAGCATTTCTTCTACTTGCACTCTAATGGTTTGATGCTCCCATTCAAAACTTCTGCTTTCTCTCAAATAGATTCTCTTCCCCATCAAAACTTCCTGTCTGCTCTTAGATCTATTGATTCTTGCACAGATAATTTTTCCTCTCGCCTTCCTTCTTCTCATGTGCAAACCAGTCTTGGCTCGAGTCATAGACCGTTTCTCAATTCACTAGAACGCGAGTACAAGTATGGGAGCACGCAGCATAAATATGGGTCATTGGAACAGAAGTTTACTGATGACATCACCACACGTTCTGCTCATCTGGAGCTGCCTTTCACCTCCTGTTAAGATAATAAATTCTGACTTTTTTCATCAAGTGAAGGAATAATAACACAGTCAGATAAACAGAAATTAAATGAACATTTTGCCAAATAAAACAAAAACTCGGCATCAGAGCCAGCGGTCCTTTACACGGCTATGCAGAGAGAGGGCTGCTGCAAACGGGCTAATGCTAGCTCTGCGGTTAGTCTCTGAGGTCCACTGGTTGCCACGGTCCTCTCAACTTCAGAACTTTTTTTTTTTAATTATGGGCCATATGATGATGCTTAAAAGTATAATGTTCTCACATCTAATGATCCTAAAATGTACTTTTATTGAAAAACAGCAACAGAAGAGAGAACTAATTTAATACTCTGAGCTCTGTGAGCGCTCCATTGAAAGCCGCTGCTGCCGCCGTGCATGCTGGGACAGCTGTCAATCTGGAGAACGGACAAGTCTGCCCTGATGCATGCTGGGTAAAGAGGGAGGAGTGAGAAGAACAGCTGAGGCTGATGAAGTTTCAAGAGCAAATGAGAACGCACAATTACACATATTGAGAAACGGCATCAGATATGCTGGCAAACCTGTCAGAGTCAGACCGTTGTCTAGCAACTAATTAAGTTTGCCTGTTACTGCGTTCTAACATTATAACATTTCTCTTAAGGCTAAACCTTGTAAAAATGCTGTGTGTGGAGATGCTGGTATTATTATAATTACCTAAAGTGAAATTAGTTCCTTATCAGCATGGGCTTAAAGGCCACTCTGCGAGGAAGAAGCCATTATTCCATAAACACCATAAAAAGTCTGTTTGTAGTTTATCAATTGCACACAAAGGTCCTGCAGTCAAATAAGATTAAAGCAGTAATGACTCAGCAGTGACTCATAAATCACGTATTTGCTTGTTAAACCCTAATATTACCTCCCTGGCCAGTGTTAAGGCTAATGTTTTCCCAAGCAGTTTATCTAATTAGGACAGTTCTTCTGTCAGGAGTAAAAATATTATGTAGGTAAGAAAGATTTGGAAATGAAATAAGAGCATTCAGATTATATACATAAGCATCCGGGTAATAATTTCTAACAAAGAACGCTTTGGATTTAACTTTGCACTGCAAGCTGGATCGTCGCTAGATCTGAGTTTTCAATCTCACTACAAATCGATTTTGAAATACTCTCACTAATACATCCGTCTTGTAACAACCAGCGGACCAATGACATACCATCAGTGTTTTTAGGGCGGGACATGAAGGAATGATGACAGTCAGAAGTAAAACCATTGAAATCTGCCTTTTTTTGTACACTGAATTTTTTAATCACTGAATTTTTTAAGACCGAATTTTAAACACTGTTTTTCTTTACGCATTTAATTCCTTACACTGAATTTTTATCTGGTGAAAATTCAGCTGCATTAAAATCAGCTGCAAAAAATTTGCCTGCAAAAAATTAGACTGCAAATGTGTTGATCTTTTGGTGAGAAGCCAAAGCAATCTACACTCGATGCAGTCGAGCAGCTTCTAGCCAATGAAATGAGCTCATTTTGTCAGACAAAAGAAAGGAATATTGCCACCGGCCGTTTCTTCCAGATCAAACCAAGAGCCTTGGCAGACAGGGGTGCTGCACTAGCTGTGATTGGCTCAGTTATTTCACCCAGTCCGATTAGATGAAAAACTCTAATGCAACCTTTTTAAGGCTGAGGGCCACTTCAAGGGTACCGAGACGTAGGAAGGGCGACCATTACTGACCCATGAGCTGCAAGGGTTAGCGTTAGCCTAAACTTTGTTCATTATCAACATATTTTTATTGTTTCGGTTAATTTCTAAGTTTATTTTGACATTGTCATTTTGAAATCTCTATTAATGATTAAAAAGAAGAGCAACAGAATAAAATAAAATTTCTAACTTAGCCCACTGGTGGGTTGTTCTTTATTTAGAAGACTCTGAGGGCCCCCCATGTGGTCCTTGAGGGCACCGCGTTGGTGACCCCTGCTCTAACGGCTGTTTAGTAGTAGCAACTTGAAGTTTTGTAAATCATATCTATTTAACAAGAAAAACTCCTCATTCAGCTTCATTTATCCAGGAACAAAACTATGCCCAACTGTTGTGTCACGTGACCAATTAAGCTCATTTTACTGGCTAGAAGCTAGTCGACTGCGAGTGTCGAAACAGTCTAGCAGCCTTTTTTTGGTGCTGAATTTTTTGCAGCTGAAATTTTTGCAGCCAAATTTTTACCAGATATAAATTCAGTATAAGGAAATCCATTTGTAAAAAAAAATCAGTGTTTGTTGTACAAAAAGATGCAGATTCCAATGAGACTGTTTTTTTTTTCCATACATGCTCGGGCATAACTGTACAAACATGGCTACACTGAAGGACTCACCTGTCGATAGCGCAATTGACTCAGTTTTAGCCAAAATAGTGACAATTTCTTGCTTAGATAAGGAGCAAAGAGAAGCACTGTGTGCATTTGTAGATGGGAACGATGTCTGTGCTTTTCTTCCAACAGGATTGGAAAAGTCTGCTAGTTGTAAAAACATTTAACATGACGATTTGCTGCTACGATTGGCTGAAGTGTATAATGGAAGGCGGGTACTAGCTGGCACATCACCCATCTTTTTCACAGTCAGACTAAACGGCAGCTAGAGGTGAGTCTTGGCATGAGTGTTGCGATTCGATACATGTCGCGATACTTGGGTCACGATACGATATTATCACGATATTGCAGTATCACTATATATTGCCATATTTTCCCCAGCTATCAAATCAAATGATGAAATAAAACAGCAAGTGCTGTATATTTTCATCAGAAAATATTGATTAGGTATTATTATCCTTGTTGTTTGGGGTTTTCTTCCACTGTGACTGCCTCAAATACAGATTTGGTGCTGCACGCACAGTTAAAGGGCTCCACAGCACTTTCTGCCAGAGTGGTGGTGCAGAGGTAGCCAATTTTCCCATCAATGTTTTATGTAACTATTTTTTTTTTTAATCGATACTAAGAAGTGAAAGATCGATATTATATTGGGCAGCTGAATATCACGATATATCGCCAAAACGATTATTTCCCACACCCCTAACGGCAGCCGTCTCAGATTAATAACGTAGAACTCAACTCAGTTCTACACATATCAATCTAGCTACTGCCAGGTTACTCTTGGTTGTCCTTGATCTAGAAAACAATGTTTAATCTTAACTAGGCTGGAGCCAGTGATGTCTCATCATTTACCGTACAAACAATACGTGTAGATGTGATGATTTGGCAAGGACTGACTCTGCAGATGTATAAAACGCTACTTTAACTCTTGTATTTTGAGCCATTTATCTGGTTTACATAAGATAAATTCAGTTAAACCTGCAGTCATGTTTTATAGTCATTAAATTAATTTTCCCAGTGACCTCTTAGGAAAGAAGGTGTGAGAACTACATAACAGTAATAATGATTTGTTCTCTTTAATTATTGGTGTTGCCATCTTTCCAGTGCAATGTACTTTTTTTCCCTCATGTCCAGCACTTTGAATTGTGCAATATAAATAAACCTGCATTGCCTTAAAGTCGATATGAAGCAAATAAATACATCTCACTGTGAAGTAAATGCGTCAGTTTGATTGCAGCACATACACAGACCTATTCTGTATTCCTTCCAAAACAAAACTCTGCGACCAATGCTGAGTGGTAAATGATCGACTCTCTGGAGACCCGTGAGTAATCAATGTGTGTCTTAAATGAATCTGACTCCCAGTCGAAGGCCTACAGGGTGCCGCAGCCAGGCAGAGCCCAGTCGCTGTCGCTTGCATCAGCCCATGAAACTCCACTTTGGTAATTGGCAGATACTTCAGTCTCCCTCAGAGTGGAGATTTAGCATAACCGGCGTCCTGGGTGGCGACCCCAATCAGGACGGCGGATTTGATTCCGTCTGCATGGCCACAGGAATACATGAGCTGCATCCTCACAGGCTTAATTATCAGATCCACAGATAAAGTTTCATAGAATGGCAGGTGGTCATGTGATTTTTCATGAATCATAAAGATTAGACAGATTTAATGAAAAACTAGCCGCTTGTTTAATGAAAGAAAGAGATAATCTTAGCTTCAGGAGGGCTAATGTTTCAGGGAGGATAACACTTTGAAGCAACTTCAGAGGAAACTTTCTATGTTACATTTACAACATTGGCTTATTTCATCCTCTCTGTCTTCCCGCTTTGATATATTGATCAAAATCATAATAAAGCTACAAGTCAGCTACACCTCTTAGATCAACACCGTGTTCCTGGACTGAAAGTCAAACTCAGAGCTGATCGGCTTGCTGCTCGCTCTGCTACGCTGCAAAAAATTTAAATCTAAATAAGTAATTTTTCTTAAAGTAAGTGCATTTGTTCTTGAATTGAGGAGGTGAGTGAGCCGCTTTGCCAGTGGAAAAAGACAATTTACATTTGAAATAAGAAGAAACAATTGCATTGTCTTATTACAAGTGCATATTATCTAATTATCCTATTTCAAGAGTAAAAATACTAATTCAAATGGCAGATCCATTAAAATACAAAAAAAGGGTAAATACACTTGATTCAAGAAATTTTTACTTATTTCTAGATCATTTTTGCAGTGTACAACAGTCCCATTCGTTTACCTCATAGAGGTCCACCATGACGTTTCCCTCCAGGCCCATGCTGCTGACCACGTTCTCCAGAGCCAGAGTGTAGTAGACTCCAGAAGTGTCAGACACATACAGGTTGTAGGTTTCATTCTGGTTCCACTCCTGAACGGCAGCCACCACTCGGTTTTCATCTGTGCTGATCACATGCAGCTCCTGGGAGAAGGATACAAAGACGTAAGTGTAGAGTTGTGTTTAACAAAAATTTGGAAGGTTTCAACACTTCTATGCTGCGTGTTTTTCTTCTTGAGATTGGACCATAAAGTAGTTCCTAAAGAGTTATTGAGGACCAGCTGTGTGAAGCTGATTCCCCACCCATTTGAAAAAGAAACTCTGCAAATAGACTGAGGTAAAGTTTTCATTTATGCTGTTTTAGTTCTGAGATTTTAAAGTTTTTTTTTTTTGAGTAAACCAGAGGTAACCGTGCCCCCCTGGTAAAATCCAAATTGAGTCAAAGTGGATCTGTAGATTTGTGCACTTTTGTTATCTTTACTAACATAGAATCTATTTATAGATCAGTGATTCTATGTTCTCTTTGTTAGACTGCTTTTCTCTCTTTGGATCCAAATTCAGCCTTGGCAGATGGCCGCTCACAATGAGTCTGGTTATGAAGAGGTTTCTTCCTGCTAAAGGGAGTTTTTCCTCATTACTGTCACTGCATGCATGGTTGGTGTGAAGGACTGCTCTAGAGTCAACAACACATCTATCCATCTATCTTCCGTCACGGTTTATCCCAAGTGGGGTAGCGAGGGGTGCTGGTGATCTCCAGATGTCTATGGGCGAGAGGCGGGGTCCACCCTGGACAGGTCGCCAGTCCATCGCAGGGCAACACAGAGACAAACAACCATTCACACACACTTACACCTTGGGAGAATTTAGACAAGCCAATTAACCTAAAAGTCATGCATTCACAGGGAGAACATGCAAACTCCATGCAGGCAAGGAATTTAACCCAGAACTTTCTTGCTGCAAGGCAAGGCAAGGCAAGTAGCACTGCCTCTTTTACTGGAGCAACTAGACAACAACTACACAAACACATTGCACAGCATAGAAGAGCAAGCAGGTCTGGGCAAGATTCAGCTGGATACTTGCACCTCAAGAACAAAGGACACACATTGGAGGATGAAAATGATCAGATTTTTGGACAGAGAAGACAAATGTTTTGAAAGAGGGGTTAAGGAAGCCATATTTGTTAAAAGGGAAAAATCTCACTGAACACAGGTTTCCAAGCATCTATATTTTATTCATGGAGGATGGACTTCCATGGTACTTCAAACGTCAGAGCTCCATCTACAGGTTGCTCTGGTGTGTCTTTGTTTAGAGGAGGAAAGCAGAAACGAAGATGTTGTGGAAGAGGACGCCAGGGTGGCAGAAGCTTGGTTTGGTGTAGAAGGCTCACAGCCGTACATGTTTGAGCCCTTGCCTCGCAACGCTGCCAGTTCTGTTAGCTCTACGCCTGCTAAAGACACAGTCGTCCATGCCCATGAACACTGGGACGGAACTCAATGGGAAAGGAAATTATTCTTATTTCTTATTTCAACTGTTGCGTTTATTAGCTGCGACATATGAATCAAGATGCTTTGACCGAAAAAGTTTGATTGACAGATGACCGTTGATATGTGACTGGCCGAATTTAGGTGTTCAGGCTGATGTATAACTGGCAGACCGATGTTTGGTCCTTTATAAACTGGCCTGCATAAGATAACGGGGAAAAAAACACAGATTTAAAGACAGGATTTCTTTTAAGTGTTTAAATGAAATCCTTTTAAAAAAAATGTCACATTTTTGGGACAATATCATCTGATAAAGAGTAGATTTATATAGACGTTTAAGCCAGAATGGTTTGATTTTTAAATATGATTTCCCTACGTCTTTAAATTATTTACCTATTTGTTTATTTATTTGTTTTATGAGAGTATAGTGTTTCAGCTAGAAATTGTCATTAAATAATCATTTCTTTAAATTAGATATTCACTTCATTCACTGATTCTTTATTAAGGAAAAAAGTCAAGGACAACAAGAGGCATTTGAAAAAAGCAAACAATACAACCTGAATTTCAACACATTAATAATGACTGATTCATGTTGTCCAATGCCTTTGCTGTAGCCTTGTGAGACCA